AAAATATTGATGATATTCAGTGGTGACTGGTTAGTAATATGCTGTTTCAAAATGCAGTTATAAATTTGTTTATTTTTTTGAAATGGGAAGTGGACAGTATTTTTTCCACATCCTGCAAACTGAGTGCAAAGATTTCATCAGTTCCATTTGAAAACGGAAGATTAGTTCCAATATGATTAAAATTTACATTTACWATTGAAACTTCTGTTCAAATCTGTTGTTATGATTTTTTCCTGTTTTTCACACCAGGGATTTTCTTTTAAATACTCTGAGTCTTACATTGCTGTAAAATGTGGAAAGTATTCACAAACCTCAAAGCTAATCTGAAAAATTTTTGATACAGAAATAACAGGATGAGAACAGACAGCTTGTTAATGATGAAKTGAAATATGCTGTTCCAAATTACCYTAGTCTGAAGGCAGCCTGTCTTTATTATAAATCTTTACTCTTTTGCAAGCACAGCCTCCCCTGTCTTGGCCTTCCTGCATGGTTGAAAACACTGTATAAATTAGCAATATTTATTATTTTAACCCTGCCTGTGAAAATGGAGTAAGCACAACTCAGTAGAAAGTTGGAGTTGTTTGTTGTTACTTTTTAAGAAACCTTTTTTCTTCCGTGGAAATATCAAAGCTTTGTGTGCTGTGCACTGATTTCTTTCAGCAGCTGCAGAGCACCAAGACAAATAACTTTTGTCGTGTACTGTAAGATACACAAGTCATTGTTCTACATTGTTAGTCCTCACTTTGAAGTTCTCATTTATTGTTTACATCCTTCTCCCCCTTCCTCGCTTCCTCCCTCCCTCCCCCATATATTCATAGGCTTGGGGAAAAAAAAAAAGAAAAATCTGGCAGGCAACAAGTTCTGCTTTGTCAAATAGCCAAAAAAACAATCTGATGGATGTTAAATGTCCAAGATGCCCCCCCTGGCCTGAGGGTGAGCCCTGTGATGAAGACAAGCAGGTAGGAGCTCAGTGATTAATATTGCACTCCCACTTATTGATTTGCTCTTAAATCAGGTATTGAATTTTTGCAACAAATTTCTGTAAATGGGCACAAGGTGAATGTTTGTCCTCTGTCTTGAAAAAAGGAGAGATCACTTTTTTTTTCCCCCTGGGGATTTTTGACAGTTGCAGATCAGACCCTATCACTTTCAGCCTGACAGTTATTAAATGTTYCTAGCACCTGCCCCATGCTGTGGAAAACAGGACAGTGCCACCACAAAACCCCATTTTCAGGTAACTGCTGATTTTTGGTGGCATTCTGGTTTTTTTAAATGAAGAAGAAAGTGTGACTAGGCACATAAAAGCAGCTCTGTTGCTACCACCCTTCATGGCTTTAAATAACAGGGACAGCACAGATGTTTGACATCAGGATTGTTTACATGGCCTTAGGGTTTAATTGCCTCATTCTCTTTGTGAGGAGGATAAACAATGACAGAAATCCAAAGGAATGATGTTCAGCCAACAGCGATGGCTGCGTTTCATACATAGTTGCAAACTTCCCAACTATAGCTAAATATCTACCWTTTTTTTTCCCTTGTCTGAATGGTAATGTGCCATAAATTTCATATTCTCTGCTGCCTCTTTACTGGTGATAAAAGACAATAAAACCGACGAGCACGAGCGCTGTAAATCGCATTTAACGAAGTGAACGACTCAGGAAAGTTGTTTTTATCTGGTTTCTCTAAAACTTACAAAGGTCTTTRGTACTGCTGGAGGTTATTTTGTTCCTTAATATGTGTTTAATAAATAAAGTCAGGGTGAAGAGCACAGGGCTGTGTGTGGAAGAGCAGCACACGAAATTACCTCGAGCTGCTCCACAGGAAATTGGGACAAGCTGAGATTTGACATTTGGGATCTGCGGGCAGGCTCCACCTCAGCTCGGTGTGGTTTTAATTTCAGAGATATTCCTTGATTGAAATTAGTGTTTAATRATGTGCTTCAGCTTTCCAATGGAAAGGGAGGCATTTATTTCACTCCCAGCTGAGCCCTTTTKCTTCCACCCCAGCCTCTGTGAGATCACTGCAGAAAATGTGTTTACACGACTCAATTCTTTTATTGATGTACACGGTGAGATTGGGAGTCTGCCTCAGAGAAAGGGTGGGTCAAAAAGCAGATTTGGGTTGGGAACCAGCCCTCTAGGCTTTGCTATAGGACTCTTAATTGTTATCCTCGTGTTTTCTGGCTTCTCCAGCAGTTTTCCACACAAGAAATGGAGTATAGGATTTTTAAATCAATATATCRTTATTTTTACAGCAAACGCTGACTTTAACACTTCCAGAAGCTGTGATGAAGGTAAACATGTGGCTTGGAATTATGGACCATTACAAAGCTTAATTGTTATTGGAGATTTTTAAAATTCTATTTAATTTTTTTTACCAGTTACTTGGTACAAATATAACTTTCTTCTCAACACTGGCTGAAAAGTCCATGTTCACATCAACTGTTGATTTTCAGACACTTTAATATGGGTCATTTCACATTTCTTTATATAGTAGAGGAAAAATTAGGAAAGTTGTGGATGAAAGAGATGGGGTAGGAAAGTGTCTAGAGTGCTGAAACTTCAGAATTTCGTGAGGACTTTGAGTACTTTCAAAGGTACCCCCTTTTCAGCCCTACCTGATTTTAAAAATTATTTTATTTCGAGTATTGAGAAGAAAGCGATCTACTTCCTTTTTATAGTGTTTGCATTCATGAAGGGCTGATTTCTGTATCTTGGACACATTTTTCCCTGTTGTTTGGTCTCCTTTTTGGAAAGCAGTCCCAAATCTGTGATATTTTAAGGGATGGCTGTTCCAGTGGTGTCAGGAATTAATGAGCTAAAATTGATGGGAGCTGGTGCAAGTGCAAGGGTGGTGCTAAGGGGAAGATTAATGACAAGTGGGAACCAGCTTCAAGTACAAGGAGTTCTCTTGTCAGCCTGGGGGAAAACATCCTGTGGCTGAGAACAATCAGCAGCACTTGAAAATATGTGTATGTCCCTATTTAATCCAAGTGAAATTCTAGATTTGGATTGATTTTTGTGTTGTTCCAGTGTACAGAATTATAAAACCTAGACCAGCTCTCAGCTGATACAAACCACYGAGGATTCATTTCCATCAGCCACCACATTCTCACGTTATTAATGAGTTTTAAATGTAATTTGTGTAGATTTAGGAGCTGTGTGAGGCCAGTAGCTGCACTTCAGTCATTCAGAAGCTTTGAATGTAATTCAAGTCGATTGGAATCTCTTTCATGTTTCGTTTCTGGTATTTGTGTTTTTACCAGCCCTTCATATTTATTTATGGAATGTTCACAAGCTGTCTATCTGGAAGTGGATTACTGTGCTCTTTTTATTAAATCAACACTTATTCATCACCTGGTACTAAGATTTTCTTCTATAATGTCACTTTGTTGGAGCGGTATACGCATACATTTCTTTTCATATATACATATGCGTTGATTTCATGAATAGAACATGCATTTTTATCCTGATGCTTATTTTGGGGTGATAAAAGAGTTGGCTGACAGCTGAGAATATGATTTATTTTCTTGGGATTAATTGTCAACCTAACTATTTTTTTTTCCTATTAATTTGCATAAGGCTGTGTACAAATGGTTGGGAGATGAAGTGACCTCTCTGTGGGGTGATAGGGTAATAAGCAGCTGTTGGGTRTTGGTATGAGTCCAAAAAATGAAAAAAATTGCTGTTCTTCCTTCTTTTTTCACTTCTTAAAGAGCTTTCTATGTTTACTGCACAGCATCTTGCAGTTTTGAGTTGAGTTGGATTTTTGAAGCTGACCTTTCAAGTCACRATAACGTCGTAATGTTTCCAACTCACAACAAACCTGCAACACAAATGAATCATACAAAAAATCAGTAATTTGTGCTGTGTTTAGTGCTTGTCCATGTGAGATGAAGATTCATGCTTGAATGACAACTTTTGATTAGTCAAGGGCATGGAAAACAAAGGCAGAATRAGTAATGCTGTTGATTCCTTTGGAGTTTGTGAGTTACTACAAGTCAGGTTCTTAGCTGAGCTGAATAAAAACGTGAGAATTGGAAGAAGCTGGGTGGGGATGGGAGTGCAKTGCCCTCAGCATCTTTTAGAACACCCTAAAGTCAAACACAAGGTTTTCTGGTGGCCAAAGACCACTCACTCCTGGAGGGGATTTGAGTCCCTTTCTAAAGGGAGGGGGATCAGGGTCTCTCTCCTGGGGAAGCTTTTGGTCCATTTTGCTTTCTGGACAATGGATATTAATAATGAAGGAGTGGAACAGCCTGAATCTGAACTCAAGGKGTCACTTTTGGTTTCTAGAAAACCCTGAGAAACRCAAAATTCCTGTCATAGCTGTCCTRAAAACACTGAAAGCATGCAAGAGATTTAAAAWTCCTTTAAAGATGGAAACTTAGGCTTTGAGTGAGAATAGGCAATGTATTTTTGTGTTGGAGGGGTTCAAATACAGCTTTGAACAAACACAAGGAGAACAGGAAACGTATTTCAGTGATCCAATCCTTAATCCCATCACAAGTCACCTTTAAAAGGAAATGTGTTTATAATGTGAACTCTGTGAATARTAGAAAACAAACAAAAACAAACGTGCAGCTGGGCTAAAGGGCATTCTTTGAATAAATGTAACACCTGCCTGAAGAAATGGACATGAGTTTACCAAACTTGGTATATTAACAGAAATATTAAAAGTGTTATTCTGAGTTGTTTATTTGAATTAAGGATGATAGCTTGTTTTGGGCAGTAGCAGTTGTGTTTTTTGCCAACTAAAACATCCTACARATTCATTTTCTGAAGAAATGTGGTGGGATGACATCTTTWGTAACACTTRTATCAAATAAAGATGAAAACATTGRGAAACTGAATATAGACTTTTTTCATAGGAGTTCTTCATTAGTGACTTCCCGTTGCTTTCTGAAAGGCATAAATGAATAATTGAAAAGTTATGAAAAGGTCATTGGTATGATTGTTTTTTAATTTCAATTATGTATTTATTCTGCTTTTCTTTTAAAGATGGAAATGAAAATGAGAATAGCAGAAGGTAAATTTCATGAAGAAAARCTGAAATTACAGCAGAAGCACGATGCTGATGTTCAAAAGGTAAGAAGTGTTTGTATTTCTTTCCAAAAACAGTGTATTAAACAATAATAGAGACTATGATTATCATAAATATTTATCAGTTGTTCTTTAGCTCCTTCACAATTGCAATTAATGTTTGTTGGAAATCAAATTGTAGGTAACAGTTGGCATGAACTGAGAGGAATGCAGAATATTTTATGGTAACATAAACTTAGGAAGGGAAAACACTTGCAGAAAGGAGATGAAAATGCAAAGCAATTTGTTTATTTGAACAAGACAGCCGATTTTACCAGCACAACAACTCCTGAGGGAAATCCTAAACTCATGACTTTTCTGTTTGAGAAAAAGAATTTGTWTTTATAGAAGAATGCGAACAAAAAGAATTAATTTTTCATGGACRAAATGCAAGATATAAGAGTAGGAAAATCCACAGATGTGTCATAAATGTTCTTGCTCATCCAGCAGCAGTGCTACTTGTCCTGTTTCTGTTTTGAAACTGCCTTAGGGCCTTGGTTTGTGATGTTGGTCACTAAACAGCTCTTGGTTCATGGTGTTTTCATCAAACAGCCCTTGGTTCACAGTGCTGGTCACCAAACAGCCTTTGATTCATGGTGTTGGTCACCAAATAGCCCTTGATTTGTGGTGTTTTTCACCCAAGAGTTCTTGATTTCTGGTGTTGGCCGCCGAAAAGCCCTTGATTCACGGTGCTGGTTACCAAAGAGCCCTTGGTTCATGGTGTTTTCACCAAACAGCCTTTGATTTGTGGTGTTTTTCACCAAATAGCCCTTGATTTCTGGTATTGGTCACCAAAAAGCCCTTGGTTCATGGTGTTTTCACCAAACAGCCTTTGATTTGTGGTGTTTTTCAGCAGACAGCCCTTGGTTCATGGTGTTGCATTTTGCAGTTAATGTGGTTGTTACTTCTTCCATCACCATGGCACCCGATCTTTGAGCTACACTGGATTTATCTTCATTATATCACAACACACCACTCCTGGGAGGACTAAAACCTATCCCAGATCATTCTGGCTCTTTTAATCCCGTATTTTAAACATGCACTGAGATCCTGTGAGATCCCAGACTGCTCTGGCCGGGCTCCAATCCCAGGAATTCAGCAGGAATCCCGTGCCCAGCGTTGGGATGGCAGTGACCGACCCTGCCGTGAGCTCAGCATCGCTCAGTGCCTCTGCTTTGTTCCTCGAGCCCTGAGTCACAGGCTGGGAGGAAACTGGGTGACACAACCCTGGGACACATCAAAGCCTCCTGGAAGGATGTGGATATTTGGTCAGGTGCGTGTTTGGCTCATCTGTTCTCAAGGCCTYGGAGCAGGAGCGGCGAGCGGAGCTGGGAGCGTAAAGGAAACAGCTTTGTGAGAATAAGAAATAGTTGAAATGCTTTCTCATCCCTTGAGTTGTCGTCCCTTCCTAACTGATGTTCGAATGCTGGCTTTTGAAGTTGTTTAATAACGTTGGATATTTTAGAAAAGGTTAAATAGTGTCGTATTAATCTTTGAAAACACAAAACGTTTATTGCAGATGGGGTAATATTGTTTTAAGATGAAAGCTTCTGTTTGATAAGAGATTTGGGGCACTGTTATAAAATTCCTGCGACTTTAATCTTTATCTTAAACACAAAGTTTAAATTAAAATACTATCTCAAAGTGTGCAAATATTCTAGCTGGTTCTTTCCAAAATCAGCAGAAATATGGGTGTAGTTTCCCTCATACACTTGCTCTATTMCAGTCCATTGTTCCTTGGGATCCATGGGAGGAATTTCAATTGGTGAAGCACAAAAGGCTGTAATGAAGTTCACCAATTTATTTAAATATTTCTTAAATCTGCTGAGAATTTTAGATGCTTTTAAATGCTATTAGGCAACATAAGCACTGAAATCTTTCCTATTTACAGCAGTAGCACCATGAAGCTTCCAAACTCAACAAAAGCATCACTGGGTTTTGCCCAGGTTTAAAAGAAAACAAAAAGTCCCACCTTAAAACATGAAATTCCTTTTTTAATCTGCTTTTGCCTGCATGTGTCTAAACCAGTCCTTTGTTTATGACTTGGCAGTCACAGCTATGAAAATGATTTAGGTTTAATCATTTAGTCCTGCATGACCTGAGCACTTCTTGGAGTTTGTGACAAGACCAGGGTGTGTTATCTTGCACACTGATGGTAGTTTTGACTTTTCTGGACTTTCCCTAAAAATATTCTGCATTTTCCTTGCAGATTTTGGATAGAAAGAATAACGAAATAGATGTGTTGAAAGCCAACTACACACAGAAACAGAAAGAAGCTGAGGAGACGATCAGAAAACTGGAGAAAAAAGGTGATTTTTATCCTCAYGGTTGTTTTTTGTGTGGTGGTGTTGGGCTGCATTCTCTTGTGGCTGTGGGCTTGCRTGTTCCTTCTGCAGACATCCCTTTTTGCATTATTTGTAAATCTTGACTTAATTTTTTCCTTTATATTTTGGGAGTTTTGTCCAGTTGTCTCTGTGTTCCAAGAGGCCTGTGATCTATTACAATGAACACAGGTTTTGTGAGTGTTACCAAAAAAACTTTTTTTGATGCTACTGAAATATTTTGGCCACTTACTTAATTTTTTTTTCAGAATCTCTGGCTCGAAGTTCATTTCTTTATACATTCAGTACATTTTAATCAAACCACAGTGGGTTATTTTTAAGATCATTGCAGCAGGAAATTTCAAACATGAGTAGTCTTGAGTGTGTCACAAGTCCAAAACTCACCCCAAGTGTGGCTTCTGAGCAGTTTTTCTTTGAGAATTCCTTGGAGTCTGCACTATGGACTAAACCACAATGTAAATTAATGCAGAATTTTGGTAATCTATGTGCAAAAAAAAAGGAGAATGTTCCATGTGTGTTGTTTCCTGCTCTGGTGCTTCTCTCTCTCTGGGCTGGTGGTTGCTCTTGGCTGCCACAGGTGGAGTTGGAATCGCCCACACTGTTCCAAAAAATGAATCCTCAGTCATTCCTGAAAACTGAATATGGASTTGCTTTGTTTTCACTAATGATGATGCAATTTAAGCTGGGGAATTTAATTTCCTTGTATATCTTGGGCATTCAACCTTCCCAAGAACCTTTTCTCCTAAAAATGCTTGTGAAATCAGGTAAAAAATAACTATTTTCTTGTGTTTATACAGAATGTTGCTGATGTATATTTACTCCTTCAGGAAGGAAAACTCACTCTGAGATGCTGAGTAAACAAAGTAAAAAATTGAGAAAAAACCTTTTCATATTGTAGTGATACAGGAAGGCAGCACATGAATTAAGTATTTCAGAGCCAAAACCCATCAGGTCAATTGGAAAAATGACATAAACTGATTTTATCTATTGCCAACTTTGAAAAATCCCAAAGGTCTTGAATGATGGTTTATTTTTTTCCATTATTAACAGTTCAGACCCTTGTTCGTGAATCCCAAGTTGTCCGAGAAGCCAAAGAGCAGCAGATTGTGGAGCTGAAGAAGATGTGTGAGCAGAGCAGTGATTCCTTGAACAATGAGTGGGAGAAAAGGGTAAKGAACAGCACTCCCCTCCTTTGACAGACTCCTGCAGKGTTTATCTGGCATAATTCATTTTGTCACTCCAAAAAATAAATACACAGAATATGTTTTAGGGATTTTTTTTCCTTTTTTTTTCCTGCTGATTTTAGTTTTTCCTGGAGTGATCAAGACTGTTTTTGTGGATGCTTTGGCACCCAGCTGCTCACCCTTTTCCTGGGGCTCACCTGGCCTCCTGGCAGGTCTCTGGATGTCTTAGGGAAGTGTTTATTTCTGGTTGACCTGATGTGGAATTTTAATCTGGGTAAACCTGCTGCTACCTGCTGTCGTGGTGATTCCTTTGAACTCTTGGTTTTGTAGTGGGTCATGAATTCTTCATTTTTTTTTTTATTCTTCAATGTATTCTTATTTATTGTTCAACTTGAGACAGCAGCAAGGCAGAGGGAAGAGTGTGTTTATTGTGAGACAGCATCACCTTTGTCCAGATTATTGTCAGGATTTGTGTTGYTTCCTCCTCACAGGAGAAGGAGGGTCACAAAAAGGACAGACCCACCTCCTTTAGKGAATTTTGCTGTGTAATTTCATCCTTTTGCAGCCCTGCCTCTAGAAATGAAGTTAGATTTAATTCTTGCCTTCTTAAAGACAAATCATAATCATAACTCATAAATTGTCCTTTGTGCTCAAGATCTTGATGTTTCAGTGTTGAGTGGTTTTTTGTTTGAGGATTTTTTTCCTCATTGAATCCCAGAATGGTTTGGGYTGGAAGGGACCTTAAAGCCCATCCTGTTCCACCCCAGCCATGGGCAGGGACACCTTCCATACCCCAGCTGGCCTTGGACACTTCCAGAGATCCAGGAGCAGCCACAATATTTTTTTTTTTCCAGAAAAACAATATTTTCAGAGAGGAAATTGGGAATATTTGGCTTTCCAGTAATTCTCTTGCTGTGCTACAATAAAATAACACTCACCAATGCTAGATTTAGATGCCATTTATGATTTTGGGCCTTTTTTTCTGGTGCAGCTCCACGATACTGTGGCTGAGATGGAGATGGAGAAGCTCAACATCCGGAAGAAGCACACAGAAGACATGCAGGAGCTGCTGGAGGAAACCAACGCTCGTCTGCTCAAGATGGAGGAGGAATATTTGCAGCAGACACAGACAACTGTAAGTTTTATTGTAAATATTCATCACAGCAAAGGTCTCTTAAAATATTCAAATTTCACATGGACTGGAAGTGTCCAAGGGCAGGCTGGACAGGGCTTGGAGCAGCCTGGAGTGGTGGAAGGTGTCCCTGCCCATGGCAGGGGTGGAATCAGATGATTTTTAGGGTCTTTTCCAACCTAAATTCTATGATTGGGGCATGCACATTGTTATTTTTGATAGTGCAGTGCAGAGGGCACTGTCCAGCCAGTCCAGCCATGGATTTTATTGGTTGGATTTTATTCCCCAGATAAAAGGAATCAAGTCACATCCCTCCAATCAATGTCACACAGATAAATTTGTGATTAAGGACTGATTCYAATGCCTCACTGCTTTCGATTCCATTTAGCAGAACTGTCTCTGACCATACACAATGGTTTCTATATTGCATCTGTTCTCATAGAAACAGGAATTTTTACTCACCCACCTCCTTTCTGAGCAAGGAAATGCTTCTGTGAGATGAAAGATCACATTAAAAGGATTTTAAAATAAGTATTGATTATTCTAAGTTATTGCATTTCTTTTCTACAATCATTATAACCRTGTAAGCAGGTATAATCTGGATTTTGTGCCTGTTACATAAATGATGCAAAAAGCAAAAATATTAACAAGTCACCTCAAAAAAGCATCCTGTASTTTTCATCAGGATGAGGTATGAGGAAAATTGAATGAGTGAAAAGACAATGTCAAACAAAATTTATTCTTTTATTAATGAATGTTGAATTTAAAAATTAACATTCAGATCATGTCATAGGTAACAGTAAATACAGAGAAAAATGGACACAGTCTGTCAGCAGGATTGAATTTAAGAACCATCAAAACTAGACAGATCTTGCTGAGCAGCTTCTGATTTAATAATTAAACAAGGTAGAGTTCAAGGCAGGGCTTAAGATGAAAGACTAGACTGTCACTGGAAATTAGTTTTCTTTTTTTCTCTCTCTCCTTTCTCTCTCCTGACTTTTTTATTTTTTTCTGTTGGTATTTCAGAGTTTCCTTGTTCAGAGTTTCATGTTGTCAGGAATGCCAGTGCTGTTAGCAAGTGGAATTGGCTGAATAATTTCACTGAGGCCGTGGAGCTGATGGGGAGGGGTCTGTGCCCTGAACAAGGATGAACTTCCTTGAGGGCTGCGGGGCCAGCCAGGAATTATATTCAGTTATATATTAGAAATTATTCTTTCTTGTTATTATTTTAAAAAAACAAAACACACAAACCCCCAGAAAACCCCAAAACAAACAAACAAAAACCCCAACCCCCAAAGCAAACAACCCTCTGCACCCAGAAAACCAAACCCATCCTGAACATCTGGCTTGGAATTGATGGAGAATTTTGCTGTCGTGTGGCTGTGAAGTCTCTAAAGCCACTTGGCAGAGCTCAGGGGGCCTTTCAGGTGACCTTTTCTCTGTGTGAGGTTCTTGCTTTGGTCAGGTTCATGTCACCTCCAGTGACAGGGCAGTGGCTGCACAGGGCAGATATTTGGGGTTTGATTTTGATTTAAAAATGGATGAAATTTCTATTCCACCTCCCTCATCTTGGGGCCTTTGTTAATATAAAAATAACTCTGAAATGCCCATCCTGCAAGGACAGCTGTGCTTTATGGTCTGACCCCACCTCCTGAGGAGTTCTTCCCTCATTTCCCTGCACATTTAGGGTACAATTTAGGGTAGAATGTGAAGTCCTACAGTGGTKTCATGCTACCTGCCTGTCCAAACTCTGCTCCTTTTTTAATTTGTTTATATTAGGAGATGAAACTCAAGGGAAAAGATACAACTTTTGATAGATGCTTGTAGTTTACTGAAAAKAAATTGCTGTAATGAGATGAATGGAAAGTCTAAAATTGCTTTATGTTTATTGTCATCCATTGCAGTTTTCCACTGAAATATTGTCTTCTCTCCCATTTGAACAGATTTGTCATTTAGAAATCAGTTGCATGTGCTGTTTTGCATAWGGGAGAAGTCATTTCACCTTGAGGGGGGATATACCCCCATATTTGGGATATTTATTTATTTTTATTACAACATTTACTGAATTACTGTCGTGATTGCTGACAGCTTTGCCATCTTAACTCTTGTGTCTCCTCATCACCAAAGAACCTCCTTATTCAAATCTACTGAATAACAACAGGGGCATTCTTTCATTTATTTTGGGCTTTTCTCACTGATTTTCTGTCCTTTTAGAACGAGACAGTCCAAAAGCTGGGGGCTCGTGTGCAGCAGCTGACTGTGGAGGCTGAGAACAGTCATTTGCAACGTCAGAAATTATCTCAGGAGAAGAATGAGGTGGAGCAGCGGTACCTGGATGTCTGCTCCCARCTCCAGGAGCTGAGATCAAGGTAACCCAATAAAAACTGCTGCTTCAACTTCTAGGAATATGGAATTTCCAGGAGCAAACATTGGCAGTTTTGTTCCAGGTGTTGCCTTGTTGGCCAGTTTTAATTATRACACRTGGTTTAAGGGATAAAAGGGTTTTACCTTGGTATTTAATGGGATCCTGGGTGCACAACTTGACAGAATGGAAGAAATGCTGGAAAATGCACCCACCATTTGTAACACAAGTTTTATAGACTTCACAAATTCCCCAATAAGAAACTTAACAAATGCAGTAATGTCCCTCTATTCTAAAAAACCCTCCCCTGGATGAGGCTGGAGCTCAGTGTACACAATGTGTTCCAGAAAGGAGGCTTCACCCAAGGTTGGAGTCTCAAATTTGAGACAGCACAGGGCACACTGACCCCTCACTGAGGATGTTTGGACTCTCTGTCCAGCAGAAYYCCTAAACTGAGCTGGRATATYCAGCTACAAGAATTACAGCATGTAGGCAAAGGATAGAAGGGATACATAAAASRTKCAGAAATGTCTAAAARGGTGTATAAAATATATRAAAGGGTATGTAAAATATATGAAGGGGTATATAACATAAATAAAAGGGCGTATAAAAAGGAAAGGCATCACAGGAGCACACTGAATGGCATTTGACATCACAAAAATGTATTAATTGGTGTCAAACTCATTTAGGGTGACGCCAATGATCACCTCCATTATTTCTTAGCAGCTCATGCTGTGACAGGAGCACGTGGCTCTGTGGGATTGATCCCCAGCAGGTAAAACACCAAAATACCAGAGCCATTTCCATATTGTGTTTTGTTCCTCCTTGTAGGTGCAACTCTCTTCAGAGAGACAAGGAGCAGATGACACAGGAGTACAAGGACAACCTTCAGCGACTACAAAGCAAATGTGATGTTGATCGAGATTTTATAAAGCAGGAACAAGCTCAGGTAATGCTGCCAGGCAGGAAAATGTATGGGATTTGTTTTRTAAGTGCTCTCCTCACTGTAAATGTGRTGCTTATRAATAAATCTGCTCAGTWCACCAAGTTACTCATTTAAATAAAWTTGGGGTTTCRTTTTTCRTTCCCAAATTCAACTCCAAAATCACCTGAAGTTGGTTGGTCATTCAGGTGTGCAGTGTCCATAAAAGCTGATTCAGATAAGGCACAATTAATATCYTGATTTTGTTTGTGCTCCTGTAAAAATCCTGGATTCCAGAGGATTTCAACACACTTAAAGACTTCATGTTTTCATAAGCCTCTTCCATGACAGAAAATATTGTTTCCAGAAAAAAACATTCCTGCAGGCCATAGCATAAGTGGGATCTTTGGTGTTTATTTGCTGGAATTCTCTGAACTTTGATGATACTTTGCTCCATTTCATTTATGAATTTTTTTTTCTACCAATTCTTAGTGCCAGCAGATTTTTTATTATCAAGGGTGTTTTTTTGTGCTTTTGTTTCCATTTCTAATCTCACCAGCAGGCCCGAAGTGACGTTTCCACACCTCTAAACTCACACAGGATTTTTCTCCCGAGCTGATAATTTTTCCCAATTTCCAGGCACCTCTGAGAAATAAATTGAAAAATGCCAAAGAGCTAAAATTCCTTTTTCTCTTAATCCCAACAGACTTCAAATGTGATTGCAGAGTTACAGCGGGGCATGACTRTGCTGAAACAACAGTTGCAAGATGCAGAACTTGAAAGGCAACAACAGCTGAGGGTGAGCCCTGACTTTTCTTTCTCAGAAATTAKCAATTCTTTTTACTTTTAAATRTTTAGATAGCCATGCCTAAATGTAYTTATTTATACACCACASTGGCTTTTTCTGGTTTATTAATAGAAATATATAAATTGTCAGCTTACAGTTAAAAGTTGATTTGAAAGAGAGGTAAGAGCAGGATTTTCACAGAATTTTTTGGGCTGTTTTTTTGTAGTTCACGTGTGAAATAAAACAGTTTCAATGTGTATTGGTGGGTTACAAAGCAGCCTGTCAAAGAATGATGAATATCTTTTTTTTTCTCGTAAATTGTAAACATTTAAAAACTTTCAAAATTGTTTTTAATTTTCACTGTTTAATAGTACAGTTCAATATTCTGTCTTCCTGGAGGCATTTAAATTAATCCTCCTATCTCAGAGTAATGAGTTTCACATCTGTATCATGTATCAGTCCTGTTTCAGTTTTGGCATCTACTTTTCCCCCAATGTCTTTCATTTCACAGTTGATGTAGTACAGAATGGCATTTTAATAGCTCAGGAGAACAAGTTGCTGTTTCTCTTTAGAAAACATGAATCATGACTTTTTAGATAGTTGTGTTATTTGCTGCTGGTTGAATTTTTTTGCATGTCGGAGAATTTTTTCGTGATGATGAAAAGTGGATTTTTTATTTTTTTCAAATGTTCKATATAATAGCAAATGTGTGTGTTTGTTTAATGCTCTGATATGGAAGGAAAATGAGATTTGTTGGTTTAAAATCCACATTTCTTCCTCTGCAGGACCATGAATACAAGATTCAGCAGGACAAGCTCCACTGGCAGCGTTTCTATGAGAAACAGGTAATATTTCCAKGAAAATTTACCATCTTATGCACAGCTCCAAATTTATTCTGTACAGGACTTAAAAGTTTACATTTTGAACCCCCAAAATAGTAAATTCAGGRGCCCAAGCACTTCACAAAGTCTGAAAAAAGAATTTGATAAACTCAGGGAAGATTTTAAGGGCACGGATTTCACCTCTGATTTTAGGAACCTGTGATGGAGGCATTCCCAAAGAAGTGGCCTTATTTGTGTTTGTKTMTCTTACATAAACACCCTAAAGAATAATATTAATATCWTAATTARSAATAATAATYSTAAAAATARTYACAATAATCTTTGAAGCCTGTCCTGTTTGTGTGCACTGCTYGTGCTGGCAGCTGATGTTGAAGAGGTCATGAGCTGAATGCAGCTTGGCCTGACCTGTTGCCAGTGTTCCCATTTTCTTCCACCCTCCTTTTTCCCCAGGATATTTCTATTCCATCCCTCTCCACGTGTTCTCTATATATTGTCAACACACATTGTTTTTACATCAGAAACTTGAAGTGAAAAATGTAATTTTCATCAGAAACACTTCATCTTAAAGTGCTTTGCAAATGCTGCCTGCTCTTTCAGGCTCAAAACATCAATAGGCTTCAAATTAAACTTCAATTTTAGTGACATTGTATGTGCAACTCATGTGCAGCCAGAGGGTGCCTCAGATGCCTGTTTAATTGAAAGGATGTGTTACTCCAACATGTCATTTCCAAATGTGGCAAATTTATAACAGAAAAGAATGGATTGTGATTTGAGCTACTTGTCACTTGGTAATAGCACTTGTGACATGAATTGCAGCGAGGTTTTGGTTTGGGTTTGTCCCTTCTGMTGACTTGAGGTCAAAACACTTCTCTGTTCTGGGATCTGACTCGGTTTAAACCTAGCTTACATTTGTCTTTTTAGGCAAGTTGTGGGTTTTGTGAGTGTTGGACTCRAGAAAAATCAAGGCTGGAATAACTTGCAGGCCAAAAGAAAAAATCTGTTGGCACAATTTGGCTGAGGTTTGAGGATCTTTTGGGAAAAAGCTCCTTAGCATGGGCTGAGAGTGTGTCAGGGAGCCCAGGGAGGGAGGCTGGAATTCTGCATCAATAAACGAGGAAGCAGAGCCTTTCTTTTTATGGATAATTTGACAGCAGTTTGTTCATAAATTCTGGTGTAACTGTTTCCAAAACCAAATCTTTGAGAAAAGCCGGGAAGAAAAATACCTGTGAATAATCTATGGATATAAATCCATAAACCAAGATGGATTGGCCCATAAAATACTCAAACAAGTAAAGGAATCGTGAGGTCTCTGGTGCAATCTGTTCACTGGAAAACCTCACCATTATCTAATCATCTTTATGAGTCTGCAGTGGCTGTTGCCTCTGAGGACACTTTAAACATCAAACAAATCCTGGTAGTGACCTGAAATGTCACTGCTTGATGAAATGTGCTTATCTGCTGGATCAGGAACCAGTTAGGCTAAATGGCTTTACAAGCCAAGGAAGCACCTGCTTTTTATAAATAATCTGCTTGTTTTCCAAACATTCACTCAGCRTCAGGAGAGTGACAGATTGTCCCTGAGACCATTCCCCAGGCACCTGTGAGATGGATGGAATTGGAGCAGCTTTGGCAATTCTTGATTCTCTAATAGGCAGCTCATGGATTTGGAGGCTTTTGGCAACCCCAAAACTGGAGTGAGCACCTCCACCACAATCCCTGAATTTGCTTCTTCATTTATTCATTCAATTCATTTTCATTTCAATTTCCATTCAGCATTCTGTACACCCAGTAAAACACATTTTTCTTGATTGTGGTGTCTTAGCAGCCTGGAGCATTACAAATGACTGGAGGTGAATAAAGGATTTCCTGTATGTCCCATCCCCTTGTTGTTCCTTGAGCAGTTCTAAAGCAATAAACTCTTGTATTAAACCCAAACTCTCCTGACTTAACCTGCCCTTGGCAACAAAAATCACAAAAACTCATGGTTTGGACAGTGCCTGGGAGGCTGCCAAATTCAAAGATTATTGTAACTATTTTTAGGATTATTATTGCTAATTGTTATATTAACATTATTCTTTAGGGTGTTTATGTAAGATATTTATACTTGATAATTTTAATTGTAAGAACTGATCAAAAGTGATTCACTTTGGATGGCCACAGATTGGYGAGTAGGAGCTGTGCATCCTAGAGAATAAATGTCATTATTCTGTACTTACCTAAAGAAAATCCAATTCCTTTTTTCTGTAATAACTGATACTTCTTTACTCTAGAGAATAATATTCGTTTTGAGAAGGAAAACAGTTCATTGGCTACATTCTCATACTTAATCTTYCTGCTAATCTCTACTTTTACATAATTTTTGAAATCTACGGATGGTTATCTCCATCAGCAGAAAAGGAATATTTAAATAAATCATTTTTAGATTTTAAAATAACATTGATAATTTAACTCAGGCACTGTTTTGGCTAAAATATACGATATTTTCTTCCTTAAATGGCAGATTCAGGTCATTCAGGATGATCTGGATAAAGAAAGAGAAGAGTCTCAGACAAAAATTCGCCAGCTGGAGCAGGCTCTGAAGTAAGTGAATATGGAATAATTGTTGAACTATCCCTGGTATTTTTAAATATTTATTTATATTTATTTATTTATATTTATTTATGAAATCAACCTGTGCTTTATCTCATCTAACTGCCCTCTTATAGCTTTTTTCCCATTTTACAGCTGTACCCTCTGGATTCTGATCAGCCAGAAAAATTAAAAAACTAAAGTGAGAACYAACTCACCCAAATTTGTTGACAGCAAAAATAGAATAAAATAGAATTGAGGTTAATAATGTTAGCTGGTCTTGCTCTCCCAGATAAATAGGCCCAGGTTAAATTCAGAATGGATTCAYAGGAACCAAATAACCTAAAGACTTGTTGCTTTGGGCTCTTCTAGGAAAAGGAATAACTTTGAAAGATGAATTTATTGAAAATATATTTCAATTTAATAGATGATGTTTCTGACTTTATGTTTTGTTTTTAATATCCACACATTGCAGCCATAATGTGGATTTGTCCTCTAATACAGTGTTTTTTGTGTTAATACTTGTTCATCACAGGATCTAAGGCAGGGAGGAGTGGTCTGTAGCAAAACGCTTTCGTTAATTATCTTGGAACAGATTTTTTACTGACTTTTGTGCATGAAAAGCTCCTCAGGATGCTCCAAGTTTGATTTTTCTGAGCAGGGGAGTGGTTTATAGATGCACGTAGGACAAGATCAACTCTTGCTATGCTCCTTCCATTTCTGATTACTTAAAGAGTTATTTCCGTGTTTTAATCCAGTTTAACTTTAAAGCTGTGGATGTAATTTCTGGAGAAAACAGATTATTGTGAAACAAACCAGAAGTTATTTGCTAAAAGTATTTAGTTTAATATCACATCATACCTTATCAAGGCTGGGAGGGGTGAGTAAAAATCCTTTTATTCCATAAAAGTGACAGGGCTGAAGTCTGTATTCCTTTATTTCTGTAATCTTGGAGGGTTTTGGCATAAATAGAGACTATCTCAGATCACTGCAGACATTCATAAAAACTCCAGCTTTTAATCTTTACATTCTTTACACTGACTATTATTTATAATTTTGGCGAGATTGAATTATTATCAGCTGCACTTAATCTTTTAGCATTTTACCATCTGATTTGTTGATAATGGAGTTGCATTCATTTTCTTCCACATCTTTCAAATAAAGTCTCAGTTTGCACTTTGTGAAGTTAATAAAATCAGCCTGGCTGAAGCTCTCCTGACAGGATCTGTGGGTGCTGGGGATTTGGAAATTCAGCAGCTGAGGAGCTCTGGCAGAGAGATGGGGACACCCTTAGTTATTTCAGATATTTCCTGGTTGTCTTTAGGCTCAGGTTTAGGTGGAGTTGGGGTGAGGATTTGGAAGATTCAGGTTTTAAGAGCCTGAATTGCTCATGATGCTCCAGGGCCCACGAATTAAGATGATTTTGGTAGAAGTTAGTTCCAACCTTTTGCTTCCTGTGAGTGAATCCTGTGGCAAAACTGGGTTTGGATCAGCTCCTGGGATTGAAGATCCCTGGGGGAAAAACCATCTGCTGTTTCCCCTACAGCCAGTGCTCAATCCCAATTCCTGTATGGCTTTCAGTGATCAAT